CGCTGCCGGCCCAGCCTGGCTGTGCCGCTGCCTGCGCCCTCACAACTTCGTGCTTTTGGAGTTACCGCCGCTGCTCAGGGGGGAGATTGCCCTGTAAACTAAACACTCCTGTGTCCCTGCGGCACTGCCCGTCTGTGCTGAGGGTAAAATTCACACACTCTCGTGTCACATCGAGCGCTGAGAGTTATTGGAAAACTCACACCGGCTTGTAGAAATGGCTCATGTGGAGCCATTCCTCAGTGAGGAAGAGCGATGTTCCGAGGAAAAAAGCCACCAAATAAAAACCATTCCAAGAATAAAACAGGACACATTAAAAGTAACTAATTGAAATTAGGTATCTGCCAAAACCACCAAGACATTCATGGGAACAGAGAAACCAAGCTTTCTCTGCTAGAATTGTTACTGGTTTAGCTCTGTGAAGGATTGCTTTCAGGCCGGTTTCATGTGATACTGTAATTCCTCACAGTTCTGGGGTGTTACTGGCTACAGAATTGGCACTGGCAATTGTAGCCTGTTCCACAGTGGGGAACACTGATAAGAAGCTGCTGCACTCTGCTGTAGCTCAGTGCTCAAATAGACAGGAATTGAGAGAAAACACTTAAAATTTGTATTCTGGTGTTTCAGGGGAGACTTACAATACAGTTCCCTTTACATTTTCATTTTCAGCTTTCCTTAGAAAGCTTGATGTAGTTATTGTGGGTATTGTGGCTTTTAAAGCTCGATCTCAGTGCTTTGTTTTCTCTGAAAACCTGTGAACAGCAGAATTTATCATACACTGGCCTTTCAGAAAGAAACACACCCCTCCCTCCCAGCTGATATTTCTAACATCTGTTTCAGCTAAACCTGTGCAGTTCCTGGGAGGTGACAATATAACCTGTGGAAGAGGTGATGAGAGAGAAGCCACTGAACTTTGAAAGGCTTCAGCAGTGATTTTTTTGTCGTGTCAGGAGTGATAATTCTGTCTCTTTTAATCCATAAGAGGTTGTACCATGTGAGGAAAAATATGTCTTCTCATGGATTCTCTTCAAACATGTTCACATAACTTGTCAGTGGGTGTTGGTACGGTTTTACATCTGAAGAGAAAAGACTGTTACAGGGAGTACACCTTTTCCCATTGCTTTGAGCTTTGTCTTTAAAAATAGTCACTGTTTGAGAATGTTGCTATTTTTATATCATCAGCCTTGAGGTGCTGCTGGAAGTAATCCTTCCTGTCAGGGAGAGCTTTTCATGTACAGATAATATTTCTCCTGAAGAAACTTAAGTCTAATTCACTATAGCTCATTTTACCTTCATTGGCGTTCAGGATTTTTAAAATATGTCTTAAGTACCACTCAAGCCAGAGAAATCTTAGCAACACTCATTTCAGCTTATCCCAGAGAAGCTTGAAGCCCCTTGGTTCTCCCAGAGGCTCTGTGTGGGAGATCCCTGACACAGGGAGTTGCACCAATGTGTGTCAGACTTTGGAATGGAGCAGAGTGGCTGATGTGCTCAGACACCCCTTATGTAACTGAGTGATGATGGGCATTGTGAAATTGAGGGAAAGGTGGTGAAACTCCATGTTTGTGGAGATCCTTCACACCACTTCCTACACTACAGTCAGTCACTGGTTCCAGATCAAGCCTGTGGCTTTAGTAATAGCTGGTAAGAATGTGAATCAAGGCAGCAGGACTTGGTCAGTTTTGCATTAGTTTTTGAAAGAGTTCTGGTTTTTGTTTGGTGGCTTTTTTTGAACCTTACAGTTTCCATCCTGTTAGTACAGCCTTGGTGTGTTGGCAAAGTGGATGTGTCTCCTTCAGACCAGACAGTGCCCACTCTGGCTAGCCTGGCACACCCCTGCAGGGCACTGTCACCACCACCCCAGTAAGTTCCAGCAGCATTTCCTGAGCAGCTCTGTCACTGCAGCAGTGCCAGCCCTGCCCACAGTTCTGGCCTCTGCTGCCAAGAGGTGGCAATAGCAGAGAACCTGTTCCTGCTGCTGCTTGAATTGCCATTTCTTTGGACATTTCTCTGTACTTTGGCTCTGTGTGCCCCTGCAGGAATCAAGATCTTCCATCTTGCTATCAGGCCATGCAGAGTGATTGCTCCAGAGTATCAGGAATAAGATTAATGATTTACTTCCATTGTAAAATTAATCTTCAGTTCATACACACAGAACACCCAGATATCTGGAGTGATTGTAATTCAGGCTATCAAGAGAGCAAGCTTCACTTTGATAGCAGAGTTGCTTTATACTATTGAAATGTTTCTTGCTGGTGTTAGGCCTTGGTGATCATTTGAAGATGTTGAAAATGTGATTTTAAGTGTTTTAATTAATGGGGTTTTTGTTTCAGCAACGGCCGTATTGCAGCTGTGCCTGTCAGTGCAGCTGTTGATGGATTTAAAGCACACCTGGTCTTCAAAGAGATTGAAAAGAAGCTCCAAGAGGTACCTGGCTACTTCTTTTACCTACAACAGGATTTTAATTGATAACAGAAAGTGTGTGAAACCTGTTGGGAATGTATTAGCAACCACCACTTCTTCAGGACTGCTCATTGAAACAAGTGCTACAGATTTGGATTTTGTAATTTTCACAATTCTTGGTAAAAGAAATCTTTCACACTGTGCCATGATTTTAAATTTCCTTTTCCCCAGATAGTTGCTACCTGCATAGGGATATTTCAGTGGAGGCAAGATTAGATAGTAGGTGAGAAGCTTGCTAACTAACTAACACTAAGTTAAAAACTTTGTGTTTGGGGTTAGGTTCTTGCCTTTTAAGTGTGATTAGCAGGAGAAATTGCATTTTATCAAACTCATGTCAGGACAAGGCTGTTAGGACTATTCTTCTTAGTTTAATAGATTTCAATATGGATAGCCATAGTTTGAGGTTTTTTGTTTAGATTTTTTTATGGTTGTTTAAATGATGCATAGTAGGAGGAATAGATATTTTTAGGTTAGTAGAAATGGTGAAGGTTTTTTTTAATTACTTTTGTTAAATTAAGACTAACTGAAAATTATGTTGAAGTAAATGACTTTGTCATTGTGTGTCATTACAGGAAGGAGAGCAATTTGTTAAGAAAATTGGTGGAGTCTTTGCCTTCAAAGTAAAAGATGGTCCTGGTGGGAAAGAAGCAACTTGGATAGTAGATGTGAAAAATGGTAAAGGCTCTGTGGCAGTTAATTCAGGTCAGTGCTCTTTGATTATGTCATTGCAGAACACACATAAAACTAATGAACACAGAACTTACATTCTGTTCAGGCTGTTTGACCTTGAGCAAAAATGATGTAGAGCCACCTTAATTTTAAACATTTCTTATTACTGACACTTTTAATCCATGGTGTTTAAGACCAAGAACTAAACAGCTTCTACTCTGAATCTGTCTGGAGATAATAGTGTATTTTCCTATCACAGATCTGTGATATGATTTCACAGGAATGAGAATGGAAAAAAAAAAAAAAAGTGAAAATCAAACCTCTGGGATTTTGTTGCTCTCACTTCTTAAAATTTGGGCCAAAAATGTAATTTGTAGCTGTTTCTTCAGTTGCTTTGCTGGAGACACTGGTAAGCAGTAATCTGGTCTGCCTTGTCAAGTTACTTCTCCTCTGCAGGTAGTTAAACAACAAAACTTGGTTGGTTTCAGTGCTGTACCAGCTGACATAAACTTCTAGTTCCATTTTGAAATAAGCAACAGACTGGATGGTGTTGGGGAACCCCATAAAAATATTGAGAGCACAAGATTTGTACCCTTGCCATGAAAATGTCTTGTCACAAATCTGAAGTCACACACCCTAGTAATGAAAATTAAAAAAAAAAAAACAAACCAAAGGCGAGAGCCAGTCCTCAAAATCTGATATATCCATGAACCTGCAACACACTTTTAATTAAAAACACAATGGGGATTTGATTCAGAAATTCATTGTTATGTTATTAGAAATAAAAGACCACAGTCTTCTGTTGCATGGGGAACAGTTTATCAAAGATTTCAGTCTAATAATAAGATGAGTGTAGGAAAAGATGTGTGCAGACTTTAGCCTTTTGGTTTACACATCAGTATTTATATCAGAGTTTATTAAAACAATTTTCCAGTTTACTTTAGTAAGAAGATCCTAGAAACTTCTGTACTTGAATGAATTCAAATGAGTGCTTTCAGAATGCACATGTTGTTCCCATGGAAGGAGAGGGCAGGAAATGCCTGAAATGTCAGTAATGAGTATCTTGAGAGTGTCACAGGGGAAAAATCATCTCCTCCAAGCTGATCTTCATACTAGCAAATATAAGCTTGATAAAGCTGCAAAATGATTATCAGTGCTTGCAATGAACATTCTGTCAGGATGCAGGTAGATTATTTTTTATTTTCAAGGAATGAATTTGCTGAGCTTTTCAGGAAGGCCCATCTTTCTTCACTGTTGGGTTGCTCTGTGCTGCATGGTGGCACAGCTGCCTCTTGCTGATATTGTTTTAATGGCTCTTGCTTGTACATGCTTCAGGTATCATTTGCTGGCCTGTGGTCTGAAGGGATGCTCCACACAGTTGTAGCTCCTATAAGTGTTTCATTTCTCAGTTTGAATCTTCATTCTTCTCCTGTGTTGCAGATAAGAAGGCAGATTGTACAATCACCATGGCTGACACTGATCTGCTGGCACTCATGACTGGCAAAATGAACCCTCAGACAGTAAGTACAGCAAGGATGGCCTGATCAGGGAACTGGTTGGTTGCTTTGCCTGTTTTTAAGTTGAAATAATTTGAATGTTTTAATCCAAAACTGCCATAGCTGATCTGACAAATGACAATTCTTGGTGTGCTCTGAGCAAATGACCCAAAGTGGGATTGATCAAGGACAGGGATGTGTGTCAGATATCCTGCAGGGATGTGTCCTGTGTCATATCCCAGAAGGAGATACAACAGTGCTTGCTTGGCAGAGAAGAGGGGCAATCCAGTTTTTGCAAAATGCCATGAGAAGGAAGGGATGTGAGCCTCTCTTTGGAGGGCTTTACCCCCACAGCTGACATTAGTGTAAGGAGTCACCTTGGTGCTGAAAAGCAGAAAGTGAGGTGAGCATCCACTGAATGCCTGTCATTGTTTCTTGTTGGCTGGCGAGTTTGGGGGGTTTTTATTTGTTTGATTTGTTTAATTTGATTTTTTTTATTCTTCTGTGCACCAAAAGCAGTCATAGTGTACAAGTAAACCAAGTAACCAGAAATTTAAGTTAATTTCAAGTTGCTGTTCTGTGCTTCCAAATTCGAAGTGCTCTGGGTCACTGTTTCAAGATTTTGGTCTGGTAATCATGAGGTAAATTTTGCAACTGAAACGTGTCTAGGAGAAGTTTTAAGATAAAACACATTGTGGAAATGTAATATCCATGTAGAAAATTCAGAAACAACTCTGGTTTTACATCCAGAGTTTGAGAATTTTGGTGCATGCAGTTTATCTCCTTACAAGGTCTGGAGGAAAAATCCAAATTTTCTGCATGTCTGCTTTACAAGCAGACATTTGCAAAATTGAATTGATCAGGAACAAAGCCAGTTAAGGCTGAGCAGGATTGAGCTAAGAAATCAGTTGTGGCACCTACTGTCACTGTGGCTTTGCTGCTTGCAGTTGAATCCATGAGCATGGCTGTGATAATCTGAGAAACAAACAAGTTTATTCTCTTTAGATAATAAATTCTCTTTAGATAAATAATAAGAATACAACTTCCTCAGCTTGCTGTTCTGCAGTCAGACAATGCATTTGTTGCTGGATGTGAGGTGCCAGAATGTTGGAAATACCAAACTGCTCTTCCATAATAAGCCAGAACTGTCTGGAGAGATGCATTTGGGATAAAATGTTTTATTGCATTTCACAGAATTTCTCTTTCTTTCCAGGCATTCTTTCAAGGCAAATTGAAGATTTCTGGGAACATGGGCATGGCAATGAAACTTCAGAATCTACAGCTTCAGCCAGGCAAAGCTAAACTTTGAGCTCAGTAGAGTAAATAGTCAGTACTTGATATTCTTGACAAAAAAGTAGAATTAAACTAGACATTATCAATAATATGGCACAGGCTGGGTTTGATTGGACCTCTCTCACCTAAATTCTGTGGTTAGAGACCTTAAATCTCTTAACAATTTCCATCAGTTTCTCTGTGGCTGAGCTTGAGGCACTAACACTTACAAATGGTACATGGTGGGGCTTTGTGACAGCTTTTGTTCTAATCAATATGGACAATTTGTAAAAATTAGAGCTGAATTAGCCTGCTTACTGTTGTTGAGATTAGTTGGGAAGGAAGAGAGGAAAGTTATAAATAGTTTGGCATATCAATGACATGAGTTGCATTTTATAAAAGTTGTAATAGCAGATCATACAAATGCTTTCTGACTTCCATTCTCTCCAATTTGCTGCTGCTTACATTAAAATGATCTTGTAAAGGGGATCTCTAACATTTTTTTAGAATAGGAATTTGCTATAAAATACTTTTCTTATTACTACTTTGGAATTAAAAAAGAAACAAAATATCCAGAAGTAAGCAGGAACTAGAATGCTGCTTTGAGGTTCACAGGATTTGATAACACTTCACCTTGAAAACAGATTAGATTTGCCAGGAGAGCAGAGAGGGAAGATAACCAATATGTTACCTGTTTTCTCCTGGTAAAAACTGGTGTTGATCATGATGAAATTCTTGTCAGTTATGTAAAAGCTTTAAGTTCTGTTTTGGGAAAATGTATTCTGGTTGGAAGTTTAATAGAAAATTAAATATACTTTTCCTGTTCTTCTGTGTGTCTCTTGCTCAGATTGATAAATGTGGATTTCATGTTAATGTACTGAACTGAGTATTTTATTCAGGTTGTCACAAAGGACACCTGCAAGCATCCACTTTTTCCTCCTCAGGCACTAAAAACTTCATCCATAAACTTCATGTCAGTCCAGGAGACACATCTCACATCCTCACATATTTGGGCTATGGCTGAGGAACTTACACTGAAACTTTCACTTCCCTGGTTTAACTGAAGTAATAATAAAAAAGAGCAAATTCAAGCCAATCATTCTGCCTCCTGTTGGGAATGGTGACAGATTGCTGAGCAGTTAGAATGGCTTTACAGCCTCAGACCAAAAATGCTTCTGGCCCCTGGATTTTCTCCCTGTTGGTACCTTGGAAGAGGAGGAAGATTCATCTGTTTACTCAGAGTACTTTCCTAACTGCCACTGATTGTCTTTTTTTTTCCCAGCTCACCAATTTGAGCCAGAAATGAATATGTCTGGATTGTCTTTCATGAGTTTTTCCAGTCCCTTTTGGAATCCTTGGACAGCTTTTTTAGCATGGATCATGTGTTTATGTACCTACACATCATCTAGAATTAAACTCACTCCTCTTCTACCCTATACATTGCAGTTTTATACCTCTTAGGTTTTGGGGGCTTTTTTGAGGGGCTTTGTGTTTTACTGGAAGAACAGTGAGCAGCTTCAGAGCACTCCTGGTGTTTATATTCTTGTCCTGTCACCTTCAGGCTTCTCAGCTCATTCTGTTTAACTGTGTCACATGGAGAGACCCTTGGAACCTTCTGTCCATCCAGTATCCTTCCTGTGAGCAGCATTCCAATTGTCCTGTTAAAAGTTTTCAAGATACAAGAGCATTTTCTGCCTCTATTTTTCTTTCCCCAGTTGCTTTTCTGACCACTCCTTGTTTTGAGGTGGTGTTTTCTTAGATCTCTTAAAACTGGGGGCTCATTCCTTTCATACTAACTCAGTGCTTATTTCTGCACTGGGAAATGGAAATATTTTAAAGTATTGTTCTATATGCATCAGTTAATTTGTACTGAATTTCAGCTGTCGTTTATTGCCCAGGAACTCAGTGGTCAGGCCTAGGTTTTAATATCTGGATGGATCAATATTTGTGACCCCACTGTTCATCATCTTTTCCAAGGCATTAGTTTTCTGTTAATTAGGACAAATATGGCATTGCTCCACTGTAAACTTTTAAAAGTACAGTCTGGTCACATGAATGGTTTCCTCCTGTGCATTGTTTATTGACTTATCTAAGGATTGGAATAGATAGGAGTCATATCTCTCAAATGAAAGCAGTGTTTAACTCCCTGTAAAATAACACTTGCTGTTGTACTCACTGCTTTTTCCTAAGTTCTTGCCATTTGGATTGTGGGTTAAAACAAAAGGGACTTACAGGATTGCAGCAGTAATTCTGTCCAGAAAACAATTTGTTCCTCTTCTTGAGTTACTGATACTACCAGAAGAACTCTGTTATGCAAGCTAAGAAAATGTCTTTTTCAAGAATTTTGAGCACACACACAACATACTTCTGGTCACTGTTGGCCAAAATAATTTTGAAATGTAAACAAGGTAACATAGATAATAGTAGTCCATCCCAATAATAGTTTAAGTAAGATTTCTCAGCTGCAGAATGAAATTAAGTTTTTTAAGGGGAGAAAGTTGTACAGAACTATGAAGGGGAAAAAAAGGTAACAAAATAACTTTGAATTTGCTACCAAGAGGAATAATGTCCAAGGCTAAAGCCCTGATTTCTCCCTCAGAAAAATCTGGGTTTGCACAGGCCTGGGGCTTTCAGGCTTGAGCATCTGCAGCTGTGATGTCGTTCAAACAGCAAAATCCCAGCCTGAACCTTCCATTCCCACCAGCAGTAGGTAGAGGGAGTAGTGCAAAGGTTAGCACAGCCTGCAGCTGAGTGTTTCTCCTGCAGGATTTAAGGAGATGGAGTAAAGGACAAAGTCGTGTATTCACCCCATTTACCTGCTAATGTCTTCTTTTGACATCTGTCCTCTATTGCTTCTTCACTTTCAGCACCTTCTTTGTGTTACAACTTGCTGAGTAGTTTTTTATATAATACTTCCTCTGAGTTTTCTGGGAGTGAGGGGGAAAATGTCTTTTTCTAGAAATCCCAAATCCTCTATGAACGTTCTGCAGTCTTAGAATATGACAACTTTGAATAAATAAATGTCAAAGTGGATAGAAATAATTTACTTTCATGAGGAAAAGCTCGGTGGTACAAAGCAGCTTTTGACATTATGAAGTTCTGTTCCTCATTTTTTGCATAACTCAAAGCATTACCTAAGTCTGTACCATTTTAGAAATCTTGCTACAAAGATTTTCTTTCTCACTCCCTAATGCTCTGTTGACCAAGCAGTATTAAGTTCTTCTCCAGCTAAAATCCCCTGTAGCTTTAGATCAGCCTTTTTAAAGAAGTTCATGTTACTGCAATTGTGTTATGTTAACTGGATTCCTTGGGGGCAGAATTAGAAAGGAAGCTAGAGGTACCAAAAGGTGGCCAGGCACAACATTGCAGTGCTTTAATTTTGGTTTCAAAGGCCTTGTGTGAAGGAAAAAAATCATTTGGAATCTTGTAGGCAGAGGGTTTGGTGTTCTCAGACTCCCAGGTCACGTGAGGGGCAATCTCAGCTTTAGACATTAAAATGCTTGGGAAGGTTTTTTTTCCTTCAGGGACCCTGGTGAGCGCCCCTTGCCAGCTCTTGGTTTGGGTTTTTTTCCCAGCTATAATAAGTGTGACAGCCAGAAGTGTTGTCTGATTGGCAAGTATATCTTACCCTTATTTTCTTTTGCAAAATACATGCAATTCTTGCTTATTGGAATTTTCACTATCATGAAAAAAGCAAGAGAAGCATGACATGGTTTGTCAGAGTTGGAGCCACTGAGCAGAGTTGGTACCTGACTCAGCAGATCTGGCTTGCAAAAATTTGAGTGAATGCTTTGGTTTTGGCGCACAAATTTTATTTTTAAACATTTACTTGAGTTTTGTTTTTTCAGCCCTGCTGCTTTGCCTATTAAGAACCAGGTTCAGTGCAGAAGAATACACTTACTGTGGAAATGCAGTGTGTGTGGTGGCATTGTGGGGGCTCTGCCTGTGTACAGAACATGCTGGTGCAGTGTGGGATCCCTCTGGAAAGCAGCAGAGGCTGTGAACAGCTGAGCCCAATTTGTGGCAGCCAGGTCAGAGAGCTGGATTTTTGGGCAATAGATCATTTCAGGATGCAGGAGGATGGGATAAAGGGCCTTGACTACATCTTTCTTCTTAGGATAGAAAAAACTGCAGATAGTCACAAGGTTTTGTCCATTTCCCATATGTCCAATTCATCTGAGGTCAGATTCAACTCTTACCTCCTTGGAACAGGAAATCCATGGCTTCCTGCTCTGCAGAGCACCCAGAGCACTGCCTGTCAGCTCTCGTTAGGCAGAAAAGGCTAAGAATGCAATTAGCCTGCTGGATAAAAGGCAGGGAAAAGTCTCTTAACTATGAAAAATCAACACTTGAGGAAGCAAACCACATGTGGAGAACAAATGCTGGAAAAAGCCCCAACTGTTTGGAACAAATGCCTTTATTACTTAAATAAACAGCAGTGTAATTTGTTGGAGTGACAGTGTGAGCTGTTCTGTACCCTGTATCTCTAAGAAGAATTTGTTGCTAACTTGAAAGCAGATGGCTTTGTATGGCCCAGGGTGGGTTTTCTGGGAAATGTTAGTTATATGCTGTGATACAGGGACAGAAACATCCTAATAATGCTGCAGCAGGCTAAAAGGAACATGGATAATATAAAACAAGTTCAAAATATGCTGTGTCTGTATGCCATATTTCAGGTAGATTAAAAGCAGTCATGGAGCTTTAATTTTTTTTTAACTGTATGTGTCCTCTGGGAGAACAGACATCTCAGAGTTCATTTGGATCAAGACACAGATGCCAATAGGCTCATGGTTAGGCAATGTTATGAATTCTTAGGTTTGAAAAATACTTCCTGCTTTGGAGACAAAGCCCCCTTTTATTCCTTGTGTTTTGATTATTCATTTTTTGAAGCAAAATGACTGCAAGTTACTTAGAAGAATTTTAATTATTTTTTTTTCCTCTCCTTTCATATAAAGGCACAATACCAGCACATAGCAGTGAGCACTTCAGGAATGTCAGCTGTATTTACTGTGTGTACAGTATTTCTGTAGAGTCTTAATCAAATAAATAAAGGTGAGAATAAAGAACATTTTGTTACCTTTTAAGATATAACTAAAACCTCCAGAATGCCTGGTGGCTCACTCCAGACAGATCACAAGTGAGCTGATGCCTGGAGAACCACTGTTCTTGGAGCTCATGCTGCAGTAGATCTGCTTATACCTTTTGTTCTGTGCCATGTTTTGTTATTTGACTTTATCATATCACAGCTGTGATTGCTGTGTTTGTTATTTGAGTTTGTCATATCACAACTAAGTTTAGCCTGTTTAGGACAGTGACAGTAGCTGAGCAGGTCTCACATGGAATACACTGCAGAGTGCAGCTTGGCCCTGGACAATGCTAAAGTCTGCAAGAGTTTCTGTGAAATCTGAGAGCTCAAGGTTGCCAAGTCTGTCCTTGACCAGCACAGGGGCTTTTTGCTGCTGGGCAGTGCAGGAGGCTGTGTCCTGCACAGGGGGCTCTGTGCCAGCCCCATGGCAAAGCACTCTTGTGGCACACACTGCCTGTCACAGCAGCTGTTTGCTCAAGGACCTGGTTCTCTGCCATCTGTGTGGTCTGAAGAAATAATCATACCAAAGTTTAAACTGAGTCTTCAGCTTCAGTTTTTAAACCTGGAAATGTTTCTTCACACAGGCTGCAGCCACCACTCAGGAACATGCAAGAGCATGAAGACTCAAGTTTGACTGGAAATGTCTCCCTCAGCTCATTCTGTGCTGTGAGTGTTGCATGGAAATTCTTTGTTCTGAAAGCTCCAGAAAGCTGCAGTGAACAAAACCAGTGGCTGCTGAGTTC